TTGTCTCTCATAGTTGAGGTCTACCTATGATGTCAATTACAGGCCTCTCTCATCTTTTTAAGTGGAAGAACTTGCACAATAGTCTCTGGTAACGAGGGGTCATCCCAAAACATTATCATCTTGCTATATATATATGCTGAGATTTGTCAAGTTGGAGACTGGCATGGTGGATACAGGAGGACAAATGTGAAGAGAACAAGGAGCTGAATGCATCGAGTCCAAAGACCCTGGCAGAGGTGAGAGGCAGTGAACCAAGTGAGAGATAAGGGGCAGCGAACCAAGTGAAAGGCAAGAGATGGTGAGATGCATGGCAAATCAAGTTCCTGAGAGTAGGTGAGAGACAGCAAAGCTGGAAAACCAGCTGAGAGACAAGAATCTGAATTGAGAACTCTAGCAGTGAGCAGGCAGACAAAGGGCAAGAAGGCAGGGAAAATAAGGCCAGGTAAGTGCAAGACAAGGCAGGGAGGAAGGAGATAAGTAAGGAGTACTTCATAAATGGAAATGGATGAATTTTCAAGGCAGGGAATTGAGAGCTAAGAACTTGTAAACTTTTAATTTATTTAAAAAATAATTTTTAAAAAAGACTCTTTTAGTCAAGGAAAAATATTGACGTCGTGACTTGTGCCCATTGTTGTGACGTGCCCATAGAAGACCCAAATTGCATTTACTAAATGTAAATTAAACGAATTACTTGAAGAAAAAAATAAAGGATTCAGAGGCATCTCCAGCCACTCTGAAACTCAACCTACAAAGTGAGAAATGCCAACCTAAGCAAGAAGACTGTCCAAATGTAGACTACATCCACAATAAGGAACAGCTCCCAAAAATTGCACTATATGTGAACCTATAGAGTAAGACTGATGGAAATATGTCCATTATAGAAGAGAACAATAATCAAAAGCAATGCCCCTGCTTCCTACTCCAGCCCATTACTCTGGAACTGAAGAATCATTTTCATAGTCTCCCCCTGGAAGAAAGAATGCAGATACCTATAAAAGAGGCATGACTTGTTTTGTTTTTTAAAAAAGTACTATCCAATGTTCCTGTTATAACAAGAAAAGTATCCCACAATTTTCTAGGGGGAGAGGCAAGCGTCAGCCCTGTCCCAGCTTGGTCGTCTAGAAAAGTAAGACTCTTGACTCCATTTGTAGTGAAAAGAGTATTTTTTACTAAAAGCCAAGTGGTTACAATAGATCAAAGCTAGAACAGATTTTGTGCACAAAAGCTTCCCAGTTAACTTTTTCTTTCTCATTCCACCTTCCTTTTACAGACAATTTATTCCAGCCTTTGCCCACAATACTCTACAAATCTTTTAAAAACTAAACCCAAGCCAAGTCAGCCACTGAAGTGGTCAATGGAGTGTCAGGCCACTTTTAAAAAGGCGAAGCAGCTTTTCACAGCTGAACTCAAGCACTGAACTCAAGCACTCCAATTTTGAAAAACTTTTTATCATCTAGGCAGATGCCAGTGATGTAGCAGTGGGGGTGGTTCTCCAAAAAAAACCAAAGGAAGCTTTATAGCCCTGTGCCTGCACCTCCCAAAAACTCTGGTGCAGAACACTGCTGACCAGTGTGGGAGAAGGAAGTTTATGCTGTTCATTCAGCACTCCTCACTTGGAGACAATTCTTAGAAGATAGCAAGATTACATTTGAGGTTTGGACTGACCACAAGAACTTGGAAGCACTTAAAATCCTGCAGAAATTGTCCTCCAAGCAAGTGAGGGTTCACGATAGTTCAACCACTTTAATTTTACTCTTCGCTATTTGCCAGGAGGGTGGATTTCTTGGCTGTTGCCCTATTCCAAATGCCCCAATACAATAGCATCAGAGAAGTCAGAAATTATATCATTCCCTCCATCTAGATAGTTGTCCCTGCCCTCCAGAGAGTGCAAAACAACCCCAAGGAACTGATGACTGATGAAGTAACCCAGGCATTTAAGGGTGCTCTGGCAAATGAGTGGTTCAACCTCCATAAATATGAACTTTCATTGGGGAATGGCTTGACATGGATGGGGACTAGACTATGTGCTGGCCAGCCAGCGGAGCCACAATTTTAAAATGGCTGGACACTTCAGGTCCATAAAAACCTGTCTTGTGAAATGCTAATTCTAATGAATTCTCATGAAAAGGGTCATTGAGACCTTATGTCACCAACTGCCTGACTTGCAGCAGCAAAAAGATGTCCAGGAAAAACCATGGGATTGCTGTAACCAGTAGCCAACCCCACTGTCTCATGGAAAGAAATTTCCATGAATTTTATTATAGAACTGTCAGAAGGTTCAGGGAACACAGGGATTTTGCTCATAACCGATCTATTCTCCAAGGAGGCTCCCCTTGTCCCAAGCCCCACCCCCTTCCATCTGCACAAACTCTGGCAAGACTACAACATGTGTCTAGGCNAGGGGAAATAAGAATATGTCAAAATGTAAATATACAGATGGAAAAAATGATATGAATTGCCATGTTAAATAACAATTATAAGAATGTATATCTAAGAATGAATTTGAAAGGAAAAATAAAAAAAACCTTTTACAAAAAATAAATTCAGATACTTGGCAACTGGCAAATATTTATGACCATTGCTGTGGCCCAAGATCATGTAATCATCTTTTGTGACCTAACAAACAAAGTCAGTGGGGAAACCAGATTCACTTAACAACTGGTTAACTAACTATTCAACTGCAGTGATTCACTTAACAACTATGGCAAGAAAGGTCATAAAACTCACTTAACAAATGTCTTACTTCATAGAAATTTTGGGCTCAGTTGTGGTAGTGAGTTGAGGACTACCTGTATTAGACTGAAATTGATAGTATAAGCTGAATTTGGTGCAATTACATTTAACAACTGCAGAAAAGCTTCCAAATTAGATCAGAAGTTATTTATAAATGAGACCGAATGACTCTATTTAAAGAACCTATGAATACTAATGTTGCCTGAATTTTTTATTGTTATATTTTTTTTTCTCAGGACTTGAAAACATGCAAGCTGAACAGTCCAAAATGGCTTTTTGCTGTTTCAAAATGGCTGCAGACCACAATTATAGCAAAGCCCAATACAATGTAGGATTATGCTATGAACATGGAAGAGGCACCACAAAGGACATGACTAAGGTTTTTGTTTGTTTTATTCAGCCTGTGTTATCTCTTTATGTAGAAAATTGAGGGAGAGGAAATCATTTATTATCTATTAAGTGCCTAAGTGTGTCCTGAAACAAGTTCAGTAGTTGCCCTTTTTCCTATCTTGTTGCTTCTTCATTGCAAAAAAAAAAATCTTTGGTGGAAAGTGTTATGAAAGTGTGCAAAAGTTGTACACAACAATTGTACAACATTGCATATTAAGAAGGGAAAGAGAGCTAAAGGTACCACTTCTCAAATATTAGTGTGAGTTTATATGTATTTGTTTCGGATGAATTATTGATTTCAATCTAGGAAAATGACAGCCTGCTTATCATAAATACAAAGAAAGGATATGCTGTGATACTAATTTTGCAGGCCAGCAGCTTTAAAGGCTGTTGGAAATCAGAGAAATTCCTTCTTTGGGTTATCCTTGTCTTCTGAAGAAGGGTATGTTTCAAGTCAGATTTGATTTCTAGCAACTGCTGGGGCTACTCCTTGAAATTTTCTTGGCAAGGGTTTTTATTTGTGACTTTACCAAACTGACTTTCCTTTTACTGTAGATACAAGCTGTTAATATTTTGTTTCTTAGTATTTGTAGCTGAGATTGTGCAAAGCATGTTTTCATAATATACATTTGAGTAAATTGGCACCTTTCTTTTGATATGTTAAAGTCACCACATGTTTTGCAAGACCCACTATCGGCTTCCAAAGCTGTTTCCGTCTACTACATATTTTTGGCTTTTTTTCCCTCTCAGGTGCCTTGCTTTTGGTGTAGAAGCCTGGCCCTCTGTGTTTTCATTTGTGCTTAAAGCAAGGGAGGGAATCTCTGGGTGCATGAGTTACCATGTGTTGTCCACCTTATCTTGCCCATCAAATACCAGTACTGATTTTTTTAAAATAAAACACCTTCTCTTGACAAGTGTAGATTGCTACACAGTAATTATGAAAGAATATTTCATGTTTTGCTTCTGGGTTCCTCCTAGGTATCTAGTTAGCCACTGTGGGAACAAAATACAGGACTATTAGGACTTTTTAGACTNCAAGATTTTGAACTTTCAACTGGGTGGAAACCCAGGAAGCTTTCAGATTTGGGTTTCCACAGATGTGCCAACATGTCTCTCTTATTAAATTGGAACTTTGATGAAAGCTATGCCTTAAACTCTGATTTAATTCTGGATGATATTTGTAACGCTGACTTCTGAAGGCTACAATGGGAGTCTAGGACTGTTCACCTAGTACCCTTCGCCACCCCAGGGTCCCCCCCCCCGTCTACCATTTCTCCTCTGCTGAAATGATCCTAGCTGTTCACCCTGGTCAATAGGGCTTGGGCCTCTTCCGTTCCAGATCCTTCGTCATGGCCCATTAGCCAAAATACTGCTCACCCCAGGCTTTTGGGCTCAGGAGACAGTTCGATGCCAGTCAATCAGAGGAAGGGAAGGGAGAAAGAGAGAGGGGGGTGGGAGAAAGTGTTGTGTGTCAAGTTTCTTCTTGGGGGTTTGTTTCTCTGCCCAGTCGCCTCGGTCTGAGCTAGAAAAACCTTTGCATTTCTCTCCCCTCCCCCAATAAGACAGGACAGGACAACAGCCACAGGAAGGTTAAACACAACTGTGTTGGGGTGTAGAAGTTGCACCCCCCCCCGGAAAACCCTTTGGATTCCCCCCCCTTGCTGGAAAACTTTGGATCCTCCCCAATGTTAATGATAATTAATGATAATTGAATCAAAGTAACGGAGCCAACAAGCCTTCTGTCTTTTCTCCCATCTGCTCTTCCCTCTTCCCTCCCTTCCCCTTCCCCTTCCATGGAAGAAACCCCAGTGCTACAGTAACTATTCCTCAAATCTTTGGGAATATGTTATCATCTACATAACATGTAGCTCACATTGTGGTTGGAAGAAAGTTCTTCTGAGTAGTTAATTTGCAACAGTAGATTCCTACTTCTCATTCAGTTTTTTGGGCTGCTCAGCAACCCACCTATGCATCAACTTGAAAGTGAACAAGCCAGAGGCTTAAATGTGTATTATTAAGAGTTCACCATGGTTCTGTGGCAAGGTTCAGGTGAATTTGCCAGTTTGTATGTGGAAAGGGGACCACCAAGTCTCCTTTCCGCATACCAACAGCATCCTGCTTCGTTTCCAAATTAACCTGTTTTGCTATCTGTGAGATGTCCTGGTGGTCCCCTTTCCACATACAAACTGGCAAATTCACCTGCTCCCCAAAGATGGAAATGGTACATAGAACTAATATAAGAAACATTCCGTCAATTCTATGAGGACATAACCAGGATACTAATATTTAAATTTGATACTTTAATACAATCACTATCTCAATGTAGTAGAATACCAATTTGAGGGAGCCTGAATATGTTTTCAAAATGTGAAGTATGCCTATGGTTGAAACATTTTGGCTCCATTACTTTGATTCAATCTATTATCATTATCTTCCCCAACAGCTCTGCACCTCCACACCCCAACCCAGTTGTGTTTTAACTTTTCTGTGGCCCCTGTGTTGTCCTGTCACATTGGAGGGGGGAATCAAAAGGATTTTCTAGCAAGGGGGGAAATCCAAGGGGTTTTTCCAGCAGGGAGGGGGAATCCAAAGGGTTTTTCCAGCAGCACTCCATTCCGTTCCTCCCTCCTTCCCCCTCTCCCTAAGTGTGCTAGAAGAGCAAATGGGGGGGGGGGACTTGCTGAATTCCACTTCATTCCATTCTCTCTGTCTCTGTCTCATATCTCTGTCAGGAAAGAAAAGTTTTCAAGAAGAGCAAATTGAGAGCGGGGGGAGAGAAACCTTGCTGAATTCCATTCCACTCCATTTCATTCTCTCTCTCCCTCTCTCATCTCTCTGTCAGAAAAGAAAAGTTTTCAAGAGGAGCAAATGGGGGAGGGGGAGGGACCTTGCTGAATTCCATGGGCAGAAGCAGAGGCAGGATTGATTGAATTTGGCGAAATGTTTAACCATGAAATTGATTTGAACGACTACAGAGATTTTTTTGGAAAATGTGATCAAAGATCCAGACCTAAAAAATTCCTGACAGTATCAAAAAAGTTAGAGATATTGTCAGGACAATTGCAGTTAGTTCAGCAGAGGTGGAAAGGGGGTTCTCAAAAATGAACCTCATATGTTCAGAGCAAAGAACCAGCGTAATTGTTCCAAACATTAATAATCTGATGACAATAAGCATTTTTGGCATGCCTCTTTAGAGATGGGACCCAATTCTTACAGTCAAAAAGGGGCTCAGAGCATACCATCCCACGACTGATGATCCACAAGTGAAGACCAAGAAAAGTGCAACTGAGGAGTCTGGAAGCCAAGAACAATCTGGAAACTTCAACCACAAAACCAATAACACAAGTAAGTACTCGAGTGTATCTCTTTCATTGTGTTATTCTTATGTAAGGTGTAAGTGCATGCACTAAAGTCTTTAAAAAAAAGTCTTCCTTTCTGTGTTTCTTCTTTGTGCAGGTCATTGGAGCAAAGTGGTGAGGTGGTGGTGTTCAAGATTGGCAAGGACAGTCATCTCTCCTCTGTAAGTAGCTGTTTTATTGTTTTATGTGCTTGTTTCATCCTAATGCAGTGCATGCAATTGAATAGTTCATTTCTGTGTCTCTTCTTTGTGCAGGCCATTCATTAGAGCAAGGTGGTCAGTAGGAGCAGTAGCCAAAGGCAGATGCACAGGAGAGAAGAATGTGAGCTGGGTGCATCGATGGAGCAGGTGCGTGAACCACATCATGTGCCTCACCCGCCCCCGCCCCTCTGCCTGCTGCCAATAAAAGTGCTGCTGCTACCATGCCTGTTTCTTGAAGAATCAGCTGTGGAGTTCCTGGCCATCCCCCATGTCCTCTGGCAAGTGAGGCACCGCTTCCCAAGGCCCCCATCAGCCAGGAAAAGCCAGCCATGTGAGGTGGGAGTGGGGGGGGGGGCAGGAAAGAACCCCACCACTGCCCAGGCCAGTTATATTATGTTAGTGGGCTGGATCTGGTCCATGGGCCGTAGTTTGAGGAACCCCGATCTAAATCTTTCTTCTGCAGGGCTAATCTTTCCAGGATGGGCAACATGTCAGTGCTGCTATTAAGCTATGCTGCAACCTGCTTGCTGTTGGCAGCCTACCATAAAAATGGGAGAGGAGCTGCAGGATGGAATGAGAGGGAGGGTTGCCAGTGAATACCATGAGGAAATGAAATCAAGCCTTCCACTGTCCTATGAGAAACACTGGCTGCTTCAAGATCAAGAAAGGAATGCCAGTTGCAAGACAGGGACTGTTTCCAAAACAATTTGTTAGCACCCATATTTTTCGGTGTATAAGACTCACTCCCCCGCCCTAAAAGCGGGTGGAAATGTCTGTGTGTCTTATACAGCAAATGTTTCCACAGCCCTGCCCACCCACCGGCCCTCACCCTTCGACCTCTACCTCCCAGCAATTTGCAGCAAACAGCCTGATCAGCTTCAGCACAGCCTAATTTAGCACGAACAGCTGATCAGCAGTTGGATCAGCCTGGAATACCACCTATCAGCTGTTCCAGGCTACAGGGATTGTCACCTCCCATCACCGTCACGACCCTATCACCACCTCTGCATGCCCAGTTTCCAGCCTCCATGTGCCCTGTTTTCGGCCTGAGTGTGCATCATTTTTGGGCTCCATGTGCCCCATTTTTTGTCTTTATGCGCTGTTTTCAGCCCGTTTCAGGTGGGGATCACCGCCACCACCTATGCCTGCCATCTGGGACAGATCAAAAATGATATGTGGTGGTAGCGATGGGCAGCGGCAGCGATTCCAGCAGCCTGAAACAGCTGATAGGAAGGCAGATCCAACTGTCAACCAGCTGCTCATGCTAAATCAGGCTGGGCTGAAGCTGACCAGGCTGTTTGCTGCAAGGAGGCAAATTGCTGGGAGGCAGAGACACTTTTTTTTTCTTGTTTTCCACTCCAAAGGCTAGGTGTGTCATATAGTCCAGAGCATCTTATAGTTCAAAAAATATGGTAATAGGACATTTGATA